AGACCTGGGGGCCTAGTGAGGTGAGGCCCAGCCTTTACACTTTCATCTCCACATCTCTGTGGTCTCTTCCAGCTTGTCCTAGGAACTCTTCTCTCTAGGTCCTTGAACAATGCAGCTGGGTTCTTGTTTCCAAACCTGCAAACCCCCAAGTGAAATGCTACCGATAATCACCTATTTTAAGGGCAATTTTGCTTATAAATCTGTTCTAAACATTCATTAAATGAAATATGTATAGTAATGACACATGGATAACATCCATAACAGGAATATATGATTAATATATTAATGAGCAGGTGTTCTTATGTTCTTTGTTCTCTCTTCCTCTCTTCCTCTCTTTCTCTTTCTTTCTTTCTTTCTTTCTTTCTTTCTTTCTTTCTTTCTTTCTTTTTTTCTTTCTTTCTTTCTCTTCTTTCTTTCTGGAGACACTTTCTTTAGCCTATGCTGAACTCAAACTCTCTACGAAGCCTCCCTACGTAGGTGAGAACAGCCCTGAACTTTTGATCCTCTTGCCTCCATCTCCCAAGTCCTGAGTGTATTCCACAGTGCCCAATGCTGAGTGCTGGGGGTCAAACCCAGGGCGCCGTGCATGCCCAGCAAGCACTCTTGTACCTGAGCCACACCCTCAGCCCTCTTGTGATTTATTCTCCCTACACCAAGAGTAGCACAGGCAACGGAGAGTGAGAACTTTAGAGGATTTTGGCCTCTTCCACTTCACCCACTGACTAGGGAAAAGCTGTTTTGAATTTACTGATGAATTTGCTTCCTAGGTGTAGGACTTTCAGAATCTGGGGCTGTTCAAATCTTTATGGAGATGTAACTGTGTGTGTTTGTGTGTGTACATGATAGAGAGAGATGAGAGAGGGGGAAGAGAGACGAGGAGAAGGGGACGAGGGCGAGAAGGGAGAAAAGGAAGGAAGAGAGAAAGAGGAGAAGGAGGAAGGGAGGGGGAGCAGAGAGGGAAGAGAAAGAGAAGGAGGAAGGGAGGGAGAGAGGAGAGAGGGAAATAGTTATTACTCTACGCGAAGTTCTGGGAAGATAAAATCAGATTTGTTTTCTATGTGCTTTGATTCTAAATCACTTGGACTTAGAGCCGTCTGCGGAGCACTCCACGGTGCAAATCAGAGCTGTGGTCGCGGGACACGTGCGGAGGGAATAACTCTTTACACCTGGCGCGCTCTGATCTAGCCTGTGGCGGTGCGCTGCAAACCCAACTGGGTCTGGCGGTCAAGTCCGAGTCCGTATGTCCCGCCGCCACCTGGGAGTCCCAGGGCGCCGGGTCCGCTTCTCCGGGAGCCGTGCAGGGCTGCCCGGCGGACTCCCCGCCCCTGCCGCCGTCCACGCCCCAGTCCCCGCCCGTCCCGACGCGTCCTCAGGACCCTTCTTAAGCGTGGCGGGGCGAAGGTGCTCAGGGCCCGAGAGCTAGCAGCGCACCCAGCTCCCCGGAGCGCGCGCAGCCGAGCGCCCAGGCCGCGGTTCCCGGGCGAGCGGGCAGGCAGGCGGGCACCGAGGGCTCCCGCGCTCCCCGCCGCCGCCGGCACCCGGGCGGGCCATGCGCCCAGGCTAGAGCGCAGCCGCCGGCATGCCGCTCCCGCTGCTGCTCGCCGCGCTGTGCCTCGCAGCCCACCCGGCGCCCGCGCGCGCCTGCCAGCTGCCCTCCGAGTGGAGACCCCTGAGCGAGGGCTGCCGCGCCGAGCTGGCCGAGACCATCGTGTATGCCAAGGTGCTGGCGCTGCACCCCGAGGTGCCCGGCCTCTACAACTACCTGCCGTGGCAGTACCAAGCTGGAGAGGAAGGGCTCTTCTACTCCGCCGAGGTGGAGATGCTGTGTGACCAGGCGTGGGGCAGTATGCTGGAGGTGCCCGCCGGCTCTCGGCTCAATCTCACGGGTCTGGGCTACTTCTCCTGTCACTCCCACACCGTGGTCCAGGACTACTCCTATTTCTTCTTTGTCAGGTGAGCCTGGCCCCTCTGCGGGTTCCATGCAGCAGGTCAGGAGCGCCCCCGGGGGCCCGTTTCCCTCGCTCTGTCCTCTAAGAAGATCCTGACCACCTTTGGCCGAGGATGGTTAAGATACGGAGATGGCTTTGGAGTTCTGTGCACACCAGGGCGTTAAAGGCAAAAAGGTCAAAGTGCTTTTGTTTGTGAGACCGTTTTTGTTTTTTTCCTGTTTTGCCCGGGGGATCTTCCTGCCTCAGCCCCTCGTGTCAAAGTGCTTTCCAGCCACCCGACTGACATTGAGAAAGGTGACCTTTGCAGTCTGTTGTTGGGTTCTAGCTTGGAACTTCTCAAATGTGGGGTTTGAGCCATTCTGTGAGTCCCACACTAACACTCCTCCCCTTCACCGGTTCCCACCTGGATAAAAGCGAGACGCAAACAGTGATAGATGCACCCGAAGCACCTGGGAAAGTCCTGTCGTTTCCTGATCACCCACTCTCTCCTCTCCTCTCCTACCCACTCCAGTGCCAGAAAGCAGCCCAGATGTCCCGTTCCACTCTCTCATGCCAGCTGCTAGGTAATTCAAATTAGCAGAGCTTTGGTGGAAGCCTGCTGGGGGCGCGGGGAAAGGTAAGGGCCCCAGGTCACAAAGCTTTGAAGAGTGCAGATGGGACTCAGGCAGGTGGTCCCTTGTAGACAGCACTGATCCTGTGCCATTCCACAGAGGGTGGCCTGTGAGCGACAGGAAATGCATCTGCCCCCAAATCTCGTTCATTCTATCGACTCCTGAATTCAATCTAAACCACACGTAGAAAAGAGCAGGTGGATCCCCAAGTTCGTGGGTTGCTGCTAATTGAGTTAGGATGGATATAGAACAGCGGAGAGAGACACGGACATAGACTCTTCTCCAGGTTTTAAGACCGTGTTTCAGTCCAAAGTTGGACCGGTAACAGCCTGTCTTACCAATTGTTAAACAGCACCAAGGCTCTCGGGAGTGATTCTGACCGGGGGCTGCAAATCCATTCTGGAACCCCTGAGAAAGAAAACAGTAAATTCCGCAGAGGGGCGTCCTTAAGCTGAAGGCCACATGTGCTTTCCATATTGAAGGCAGGCTATGTTTAGAATGCATGTTCTGCTTTGTGTTGGCTTGAGCGGCTTAGCCAGATTAGTTTTTTTTTTTTGTTTGTTTGTTTTTTATTTTTTGTAATTGTCTGGAAAGTATACTTTCTGAATAAAGTCAGCCAGGCTGTGAGCGTGCCTTTCCTTGATAGAGAGAAATCTAACAGCCTTTTCATGTTTTTATTTAGGGGAAACACTGAGAGCCCAGCTATAAAACAACTTGACAGTGCTTTATTTTCCACTGGATAAAAGCTCAATAAAAGAGCAGTGTTGAATTCTTGCTTATTATTGTTTTTTTAATCACAGTGTGGCCCAGGGACTGAGCAGTGGTCAGCCAATGTTTTCATCTGTTTTCATGACCCTATTTGCAGAAAGTTAAGACAGACAGACAGACAGCCACACACTACTGTGACAGACTTTTCCATAGGGCTGTCTTGCCTTGAAGTAGGCTAGTAAGTGCATACAAGGCATTCTTCCTCTGTTGTTCTGGCCTCTTCCTCCATCTCTTGCGCACGAGCTGTGGTCGATAAATGAACAGGAGGGGGGTTATTTTGGCTCATTTCAGAGGGCTCATTGCATTGGTGTGTGGCGCTGTACACTTACACAGATGATTATAAGCAGGCAGGGCACCGCAGCTGTCCACCCCCCGGCAAACAGGAAGCAGAGAAGGAATATAGGAAGGGGCCACAACAGGGTACAGCCCCAAAGGCATACCCCAGAGGTTTATTTCCTCCATGTACATTCAACCTCCCGAACCTCCCGAACCTCCCGAACCTCCCTCAGCCTCCCACCCTAGTTGGGTACCAAGGTTGAGCACATGAAACAGAGAAAGTAGAACATATCAAATTCAAATGGAAACACTTAGGGTATAATTCTCACCTCTTTTTTTTTTTCCTGATTATCTATCTATCTATCTATCTATCTATCTATCTATCTATCTATCTAT